GTGTGTGTGTGTGTGTGTGCTTTAGGACTTGGGGGGGGGGGGACCTAGCCCGATTCCTTAACGATTCGGTCTTGTCAGGCATGGGTTCATTCAGTAACCAGGTTAAGCATGGGTTTGCACCAAGCCATTGTGCGTGCATGGCCGAGGGGGAGGGGGAGGTAGGCGCTATATTTCTTTATCTGCAGCCGCGGTTCTCAAACCTTTTGGTCTCAGGACCCCTTCCCGTCCTCAGAAGGATTGATAAGCCGGAAACCTTTGGTTTAGGTGGGTTGTATTGTCAATATCCATAGGGGTATTGACTGATTTGGAAATTGAAACGGAGATATTTTAAAATACTGATTTCTTCGACTTTGCAGACCCCCTGAAAGGGTCTCGGGGACCCTCATGGGTCTCCAGACCGTACTTTGAGAACCGCTGATCTACAGCCTGGAAGTGTGGGGCTGGGGGAGAAGGTGAGCTAGGCCTTCCCTCTGAGTAAATGGTGCCCAGGATTGACTAGGATGTATTAGATGGCACATCTTCCTTTTTTTCTGTGGTTGCCCCCCCTTACAAAGGGGGGGTGCTGCTGCTCAGTAAAAACCTTTGCTAAGGTAGGGTGGCCACTCTCTGCAGGGTTTTCCTGGAGTAAGGGGTTGTGGTGCATGGTGGGGTTACTTCTGAGCAAGCTGGCATGGATTTGGCGATGTAGCTGGGATGCCGAATGGGTGATGGGGGAGGATGGCTGGCTACAGCTTGAACTGAGGAAATAACAAAGAGTCATGCGGCACCTTAAAGGCTAAGAGATTTGTTATGACGTAAGTTTCTTGTGGATGACACTCTACTTCATTGGGCACATGGACTATTGTCGTGACAGAATTGCATATATAAACTATGGCTTTGAGCTATTTGTGTGAGTGTTGCATAGTAATTCTTGCCTTGTTCTGTGTAGGGCCAAAGACTATGACTTTGAATGGCTCTTTCAGGATCTACCTTCCTTTGTGTCTTTCCCTTGCAGTTGATAGTATTGAATGAGTGTTTGGCACATTAAACTCTAGAGAGAAATCCAGATACTGTACAAGGCTTAAATATGTTTATTGTATGTTTCTGTGATTATGTGGAAAAGAAAAAAGACAGACTTCCATGGAGCTGGGCATTGATTGTAGCTGGGCAATCTCATTTGGTGATGAGGACTACTTTAAATTAAGTTTGGATCAGATATTGCAGCTTTAGGGTTACCTTGGGAGTAGAACCATTCAAACACCTCCCTTTTGCTGAATCGCCTCCAGTTTGGAATTGACTGCATATATACTGAAGTTCCATCACATGTAGATCTGTACCCATTCTATAATTCAAAAATTTTAAATATAGATGCTGGAAATCCATTGATTAAAAATGATACAATAGCGGATTTCTCACACTAGCAGCAATTAGACTAGATGATAGTTTGGTCTAATCCAACTTCAGGGTTCTCTGGGTAACCTCTCTAGAACCCTACATTAATTATGTTAAAGTGGCACATTTGGACCACTTCTCCATTCTTTATCCTGCACATTTGTTTTCTGCTTTGGCAGAAGGATGTCTCTTCTATGGATTTCCCTAGAGTTCCAAGTACAAAAATCTGGTATGATAAAAGGTTTCTTCCAGAAGGTATCATGATGGGAGAGATAAGAGTGTCACATTGTGAAAGTGTGAGCATAGGTAGGTTCTTGTTCAGCTGGGTTCCTCAGAAATTTGGGGGTTGGGAAAGCACAGAGAGGTTGATTGTAGATCTGTGGAGGTATTAGTGAAGGTGAAAGAAACTTCCCTGTGGTTTTTTGAGAATATATTTCTCTGGAGGGTGAAGAATTATGTCACTACTATGATAGTAACACTTGAGAGTTTTGTTGGGGTAGTCATGAGTAGTTCTATGGCCCTTGGAGTGCTGTCAGGCTCTAAAATAAGGACATTGCTTTACAATAAAGGACATCTAGTCAATAATATGCTGTGATAATTCTAAGAGATTCTTCAGAAGTGCTGCTGAGAAAGTTGATGTAGGACTCTGCAGGCAAGGGCTGAATGATTGAAAGAGAAGTGTATTCTAGAATGTGCTAATGCAGCCATAAAACATTGTAATTGTGGCTTCTATCATGATAGGGAGAAATTCCTTCATAAGCATTGTGTCCTTCATGAGTGCTGCAATGAACAGAGGCTAACAAAGGGCCTGTGCCTTTTCCTGAATTTGCTGTTCATTCTAATTATGTGCAATGAATGCAGTGTCTTGAACCAATACTTTTTAATCTTTTCTGTTCTAGAAGCTTTATATAAAAAGATCTTAGGTTTCCAATCTAATCAGTGCAAATAGTCTATTTTGTTGATGAATAAATAGAATGTTGCCATTGTTTTATTTTTGTTTTCTCAGAATGTTTAATATACACGCCTCCATTTGTATTAAGTTATGACAACATTTCTTTTTGTTTCAAACAAAAGTTGCTTCCTTTTTGTTCTTTTGGGAAGAGAGTGAAACAAGTATTGTTTTTCCCCTAGATTTTTAAGTGCTTTGTTGCCCATTTTAAGCTTCTGAGCATCACATGAAAATTTCATTCATTGTCATTGAATGACAATGACAATAAGATGTGTATAGTTATAATCCATAGGAAGTGTGTTAGTATTGTGTAATGATTAGTGAAAGGGAAACATTTGATATTCACTATATATAATATCTAAAATCTTATGAAACAAAGCATGCAAATAGATTTTTGTACTAAATGTATAGAACATAAATGGAGCTTTTATGTTCAGGCATCTTGTAACCATCTGGTAGTAACATAATTTAACTTTGAGAATGTTGAATGAATGTGAATACTTACATTATAAAACATTCTGAATATATTTGAACAGCTTCTAGTCTTGGCAGTTATCAAACACTGATTCTTGATGTGATATAAATACATGAATATATGTACATGGTGAGTCTCACTAGGACTGTCGCTAATACCATTGATGGTGCAATAAACCACACTTTGATTGGAAGACTCTAATGGGGTGTGTATTTGCAGAGGTATAATATTTCAATGGGGCTTTGTGGCTAAATACCTTTTACGTGCACTTAGATTGTTCCAGTTTCCTGTAGTAACTTACGGATATTCTCACCGAAGCAGTGATGTTGGTAGGCGGTTTCTTTTATTTGCTAATATTTCAGTACTGTGAATCATTTCTGTGAAAGAATGGTATCATTTTCATTGATTGTAGAAAAGGAAAAAAAGAAAAGGGATGAGTCGGATCCCTGTTTGGAAGATGTCTGTCAGTGTACGTGACATTAAACCAAATCTTTTTTTAAATGTTATTTTAGTGCTTTGCTAAGGAGTAAAAGTAAAATTGAAGCTGCTTGCAGCATGGGATAAATTCACTGGTATGTTTATATATATATACAGTCCTTCAAAACAAGGCTGATTCGTCTGGGAAGAAGAAACATACCTTCCATTTGCAGAGATTGCTATGGCTGGATTTTGACAAAGCTCAAATCACTTTGTAGGTCATAGTACTTCAGGATCACAGATAGTTCTAAAGGATTCACAAACTTTCTCTGCTTGACGTAGATGGAATGCAAGTCTAATGCTAAGCAATAATGTGATCTGTTTAGTTTTGTCTCAGCATGTCATGAACCGCAATACTGTGGTTTGTAATTGTGATTTGAGTCATAGCATAATGTGCAAATCTAGCCAGTTGTGGTTTTTACAATATAACAAGCCAGGTAAACTATGGCTTTATACAATATGTAATCCTTATCATAGCGATCCTTGCAAGAAGAAGGTATGAAGGTATTTTACTTGTTTTATTCTTCTCCAATGCATCAGTTGGGAAAGAGGAAGACAGATGAATGATCCCCACAGTTGTTTTTAGTATCTCTGTCTCCTTTGCTGCTAGGAACCAGATCTGAAGTTGTATGTCAGTGGCACATTATCCATGCGCAGGAGTGGTGTTGTCACAAATATTTTATATTATAACCCTGTTTTTTCCACATCCTCTCTTGCACACAATATGCAGAGACATTGAAAAGATCCCCTAGCAGCTGTTTTGTTAGGCCTCTGTAGCCTTGAGGGTAAATGGAGAATAATTGTTGCCTGCAATCTCAGACTCTCTAGATTATTCCCTTGAGGCAGAATCACAAGCTTTTGTGCCAACTAGCAACCAGTCTCAAATACCCTTTTCTTGGGCAAGAAAATAAAGAGGGCATTGGCTAGCTAATTGGCTGCAGCCACGTTTGGAGGAAGCAGATTTTGTAGACCCATCTTATTCTGGCCTTAGGCTATAGTACAGCATGGAAACAGCCTTGGTTGCTCAGATGTCCTTTTCTGGAAGAGAAACAAAGATACCATTGAGGACTTTTTGTTGGAATCAATGATAGTTGGAAACAGGGTTTTGCATGATTTCCATTGGTACTTGAACAATGGGAAGATACTAGGGAAGATACTTCCATTTTGATCTAAGATATTCATATAAATATTAAATCTTGCCCATGAGGTTTAATATTTATATGAAAACACTGGGAACTGTCAACCAGGTATTTAATAT